CCCTGGTCTTCTACTTTTCTGGTAATTTAATTATATTATTCATTTTTATTCTGTTTTTTCAAATTTTACTAATTAATTTTTTTTGTCTTCAGGCCTTTCAGCGATTTTCTTGTAAAATTTCTTATAGTCTCTTCTAGTCTTCTAACTTTCTGGTAATTTTAATTGTGTTATTAGGTTTTTTCTGTTCTTCTGGATTTTACTAATTAATTTTCTGTCTTCAGGTCTTTCATTGATTTCTGATAAAATTTCTTATGATTTCTTCTGGTCTCCAGCTTTTTGGTAATTTTAATTGTGTTGAGTTTTTTTTTCTGTTCTGGATTTTACTAATTAATTTTATGTTTTTAGGTCTTATGATTTTCTGGTGAAATTTCTTGTAGTCTTCTCTGGTCTTTCAGCTTTCTGTAATTTTAATTGTATTGTTAGGTTTCTTCTGTTCTTTCAGATTTTACTAATTAATTTTCTTTTCTTTAGGTCTTTCGATGATTCTGATAAAATTTTTTGTAGTCTCACAGCTTTTATAATAATTGTAATTGTTTTTTTTTTCTGTTTTTCCAGATTTTACTAATTAGTTTTCTTTTTTTTAGGTCTTTCTGGTAAAATTTCTTGTAGTCTTTCTGGTAATTTAATTATGTTATTGGTTTTTTTCTGTTCTTCCAGAATTACTAATTAATTTTTTTTGTCTTCATGTCTTTCAGCGATTTTTTTGTGAAATTTCTTGTAGTCTTCTTAGTCTTTTAGCTTTCTGGTAATTTTAATTATATTGTTGGGTTTTTTCTGTTCTTCCAGATTTTACTAATTAATTTTCTTTTCTTTAGGTCTTTCGATAATTCTGATAAAATTTCTTGTAGTCTCCCAGCTTTTATAATAATTGTAATTGTTTTTATTTTTTCTGTTTTTTCCAGATTTTACTAATTAGTTTTCTTTTTTTTAGGTCTTTTGATAATTTTCTGGTAAAATTTCTTGTGGTCTTTCTAGTAATTTAATTGTGTTATTGGGTTTTTTCTGTTCTTCCAGAATTACTAATTAATTTTCTTTGTTTTCATGTCTTTTGGTAATTTTTTTGTAAAATTTCTTGTGGTCTCTCCTAGTCTTCTGGCTTTTTGGTAATTTTAATTGTATTGTTGAGTTTTTTTTGTTCTTTCAGATTTTACTAATTAATTTTCTTTGTCTTCAGGTTTTTTGTCAATTTCTGATGAAATTTCTTATGGTTTTCCCTGGTCTTTCAGCTTTTTGGTAATTTTAGTTATGTTGGAGTTTTTTTCTGTTCTTTCAGATTTTACTAATTAATTTTCTGTTTTTAGGTCTTTCAGCGATTTTCTGATGAAATTTCTTGTGATCTTTCCTGGACTTCTGGCTTTCTGGTAATCTTAATTGTGTTATTTGGTTTTTTTTTCTGTTCTTCTGGATTTTACTAATTAATTTTTTGTCTTCAGGTCTTTCGGTGATTTTCTGATAAAATTTCTTATAGTCTTCTCTGATATTTCGGCTTTCTGGTAATTTTAATTATTATTGTTAGGGTTTTTTCTGTTCTTCTGGATTTTACTAATTAGTTTTCTTTTCTATAGGTCTTTTGATGATTCTGATGAAATTTCTTGTAGTCTTCCTGGTCTTCTGGCTTTTCTGATAATTGTAATTGTGTTGCTAAGTCTTGTTTTTGTTCTTTCAGGTTTTACTAATTAAATTTTTTTTGTTTTCAGGTCTTTTAATGATTTCTTGTGAGATTTTTTGTAGTCTCTCCTGATTTTTCAGCTTTTTTGATAATTTTCTTTCAATAATTTTTGGTGAAATTTCTTGTGGTCTCCTGGTCTTTCAGTTTTTTTGGTAATTTTATGTTATTGGAGTTTTTTTCTGTTCTTTCAGATTTTACTAATTAATTTGTATTTCAATGATTTTCTAATGAAATTTCTTGTGGTCTTCCCAGTCTTCTAGTTTTTCTAATTTTTCTGGCCTTCAGCATTTTACTAATATGCTCTTCAAGTTTTCTTGAATTTGGATTGTTTTTGAGTCTTTTGGTGTTTTACTAGTAAATTTTCTTGTAGTTTTTGGATCTAGAGGATTACAGGAAGTTTCTTTAGTAAATGTTGAAAGTGATCTTTGGTCAACATTTTACTGTTGAATTTTATAAGTTTTTTTAGGAATTTTAATATTTATTGAAAGATTTTTTATAGTTTTTAGTTTTATTAATAAAATTTTTTTAATTATGTTTTTTTTTTATATTTATATTGAGATCTTAAAGTTTATATTGTATGATTGATTAAGTAGTTGTTATGAAATAATTTTTAAAAACTTAATAAATTAATATTTAGTTTATTTAGAAAATATAAAATATTTTTATTAAAAAATTGTATATAAAAATAAAAAAATATATAAAATATAAAATATATATTTTATTTAGATTTTACTAGTTTAATTATAGTAAGCATTAGACAAAGATCATCTTTTTTACTAGAATTTTTTATATGATTTCATATTTGTTCAAATAAATACCATTTTCATTCTGCACTTAAATCTGATAATTTTTTTTCAATTAATTGATTTAGATTATCTGATTTAGTTTTTTTAATTTGTATTATAGTTTTTTCTCTATATGATGATATGCTAATTTTAATATTTTCTTAAGATAAACTATTAAATTCAAAATAATATTGTTTTAAAATATTTGGAATTGTTGTAAATTGTTGTTTAACCAATTTGTCTATTTATAAAAATGTATTAATTGATTTCTATTATTATCAAAAATTGGTTGTGCAATATTATATCTACTAGGTGTTGAATTTTGAACTATTTTAACTAAATCTTCAAGATTGTCTACTTCAGATTTCTGTAAAAGTAATTTTATAAGTTCAAAAAATTCATCTAGACTAAATTTAGTATGTTTTGCAACTATAAAACAATAAGTTATACTATCATGCAATTCTGTTAATACTCTTTAAGCTAAATATGCTATCATAGCATTATTCTTATTTTGATCAGAGCAGTTATCTGCATGAATTACTAAGTTTTTTCTCCTAAACCATGTAATTCAAAATAATTATGTACTAAAAAAATAACAATATCTGCACCTTTACCAACTAATTCACTTTTTTAATAAGATAGTTTATCTAAAAATTATATTTTATAATTTATATAAGTTAATTTATATAATAATAAATTAATAATAAAAATTTAATTTTTACTTGACATAAAAATGCATCATTACATATTTCAAATAAATGAACCTTATATAAAGATTTAAAATAAATTTCATCCTAATTATATAAAATAATTTGGGTATTTCTAAACATCATCACAGGTAACCATCACTGCAGATGATCATCATCACAGATATTATAATTAGAAAGTTCTTAAAATAAACCCAATATTTATATTATGAATTAACCTAAATACTAAAGTTAAGACCTGGGTCCAGGTTCTAACTATAAGATCCAGATCTTAATAATTAGATACAAGCTTATAGTGATGTAGTTTTTGAATAATTGGTAATTTTTAGAATAAAGCCAAAAAAAATCAGAAACTGAGCAAAATTTTAAAGTATTCTAGAATATATGAAAACTTGTATTATTATTATTAGAAACCAGATCTTATAATTAGATTCAGATCTTATTATTAGAATCTGGATCTTGTGATTAAATCTGGATCTTGTAATTAGGATCTGGATTCAAGTATTAACTCTACTAACACTAAATACATTATATATATATACATACATACTGTTTCAAGAACATTGTTATATCCAAAATAGAAATTTATTAAAATTTCTTTATTTCCTTTCTTGTAATATACTAATTCAGGAATCAGTAAGCCATATTGGCTATGGAAAAAATTAGGTCAACCATCAGTTTCAAACTATATATATACCAAAAGAAGTTAACAATTATTAAGAAACATTAGTAACTACCTAAGAGAGAGGAAAACTAACAGGAGTAGTTAGTTACTGACAGGAAAGTTCTAAAATACTTAAGTAATAAAAAGCTACATAAATGATACTTTCCTGGTATCTTAGGAGAAAAAGTTGAATACTTTAATGTCTCCTATAGTAATATATTTAAATAATGAGAATAGTATAGTATTAGTATTGATTAGTATAGTTTTTATTATTTTATTTATAATCCTACTTATCTTAATAAAAATCTGAATTTTCTGTACTATAAACATAATAACTTTCTAAACAAAAGCTTATGCTAAATTATAAACTAGTTCTAAAAAAAAAATAATTAAAGAATTAGTAACATTCATATCTTAAATCATAGAATAGTATTATTAATCTATGCATACTTCCCTTTTGTTAACTATCAAGGTTGGATTTATGACACAGATAGCTAATTTTATCCAACTTGGTAGTTACAGTGTTCATTATTCAAATTGGTTTAATTTGCTCCTATATGAATCTCTAAAGTATAGAAGAAAACAGAAATTATTATATTAGCATTAACATAAATCAAATGTATAGAGACTTAATATTTCTCTTACAATTTGACTTCTAGTCAAAAATAAAACAATTTTTAAAAACAAATTTCATATTAATAATGTTAAAGTTTCAATTGTAGTCTCGATAATAAAAAGAAACACACATCCAACTATATACGTAGTTCAAATTTAAAAACACAAATTTAGCATAGCAATAGACTTATAAAATTTAGTATAAATGATATAGTGCAATAATAAGCATATCATTCATTATAATTAGTAGTATGACATTATATACTTCAATTGTACATTAATAAATTCATAAGCACATCTAACTAATTAGTACATTTTTTAAGCTCGCAAGTACAGGAGTTATATTCGATACCCTTACAATAGCTACATACGTATTTGTTACTTTTTTCTTGTGCCAAGGTATAACTATATTAAGAAGATTCATTTAGGTTGTTATGTTGCCTTGAACTCTGGTATGATCCTTCAAGTTGCCTGTTATTTTTATAATCTGATTTATTTATCATATGTAAAGAGTAAACAATAATATACCTATTAAAAATAAATGTAAAAAGTAAATTTATTTACCTATTATCATCCAAATCTTTTGTATATTTATTAATTCTTTGCATTGGCTTATCAGTCTTTTGATTATAATGTTTGGAAGCATAATTTTCTAATATGCTTTTTAAACATTTTTTAGAAGCACCCTTCATACATGTCAAATGAAAATTAGTTATATTTGGTAAGTTCTCATTATTAGACTCATTCAATTGTAACTCATCTTTCTTTTGGTCTTATTAATCTAATCTCTTAAAAGTTTATTTAATTCATTTTCATGACTAGTTTCAAAAGCCAAACCAACTGCTTTTTTTGCATATCTAAGGCCTTGATTGTATTTTACTTAGTTAGATAGATTCTGTTTGACAGTCTCTGAAAATATTTGGGTATGATGAATCTTATTAAGAAAATTGAAATCCAAATTGATTTGATGCTCATATATAGATATGTTATTATCAGGCAAATGCCCTCTATCAATAATAGTAATTACAACTTCTTCTTAAGAATCATATGTTGTTTCATTGTACTATCGAGATGGAATGAGACTAATATGAAACATAGCTTTATCTGAATGTACATCACCGAAAAAAAATAACAGCAAACTAGTCCCTTCGTCATAAGATTCATACAAGTGCACAGGTAATTGGCATTTCTGCAAATTATTACAAAATATTCTTTCTATTGTTTAATAGTTGCTACGTGCCAAACCTCCTAAATGGTAAACCAGTCTATATATTTAATTAATAAGTTTAAATTTGATATAACAGACTCATATTTGTCTTTGGCAAAACTTATATTATTTGTTGGATTTATTGTATCCTCATAATCTGAATTGTATAATTCATAAAAATCTGCATTATCCAAGTCGTTTATCTATAAATAAAAAACAAATTTTAGAAGCTCTTTGTAAAAACATGATATAGTCAGACCTCCTAAATGCATTCTATAAGAAAAAAACTTTACTTAAAGAACAATAAGAACAATAAAAAAAAATGCATTTATAGATATTTGAAACAGAATTTGAATGTGTACATGAGGAGGTTGTATAGATGAATTTAGAGAGGTCTCACTGTAACAATAAAAAATAAAGATAAATAAAATAAAAAAATAATGATTCTAACCCTGTAACTGATCAAGTTTTTTCAATCTTCAATTTTTTGAACATAGTAAAGTAAGCTTTCTGTCATTTAATGATGCTGCATTTTTAGTACTTGTGAAGTAAGTTAACTTTTGAGAGTTTCATTAATTCAGTTAAAATATCTATTCACAACATTAGGCAACTCAACAGTTGGATTCTGATTAAGTTGTTCTTTCCATTCAAACTGTTCTTTCTTATCAAGTTGTAATTGGATTTTAATGTCTAAATTATACAATATTGTTGAGGTCTTAATTAATCATTTTATTAGAGAATTGTAGCTTTCAACACATTGTGTTGATTGTATCCCATCATTAAAAGAGCAATGAGTGTAACATAGTGCCCAATCAGTCATATCGATACCAAGAGCACATTTAAGATATTTTTGTGCTACTGGATATTTCATAAGTAGGTCATACTGTAATAAAATTTATTTTTTTTCTTATATTAGTATATATTTATTTTTAGCTCTATATTATATTTTATAATTTTTCTAATATTTTT